CCGGCAAGACCGACACGGTCTTTGCCGCTCGGGGCTCGGTGGTGAGACTTGAGTCGGTCGTAGCCCAAACTCACGCCCCTGGTGGGCACACTTGCTTACGACGGTGGCAGCCCGAGACTACGCGGCACTGAAAAGCTATGGTTTTATTTATTTTTGTAGAATGCCCTACCTTTTACTAGTACTAAAAGTTAGTGTAGAGCGGGGTAGAGGTAGTCGTTGGTGAGCGAGGCCCACTTGCAGCCATCCTTTTGGACGGCGCGCCAGCAGCTGTGCGTGATGTTGGCGATCTCGTGGATGAAGAGGCCGCCGCGCTCGTCCAGTGTCTTGAGCCCGAACGTGTCCGACGTGTACTCGAGCGTGTCGTTCATGTTGACGATGGTGAGGTTCATGTACTTGGTCTCGATCTCCTCGATCGTGTCCACCTCCGAGTAGCGGCCAAAGATGGAGCTCTGCCACGGCATGATGCGCTCGTCGGCGGGCGAGGCGAAGAAGTGGGCCTCCTCCAGCTTGAGGAAGTTGGCCTTGCGGCGGCGCTGGTCGTAAACGCACTGGTCGTCGCCCGGCAGACAGCGGTTAACGTTGTTGTACACGGGCAGGAAGAAGTTGGCGGTGGAGAAGCTGCCGAACTGCGGCCAGCGGTTGACGTTGAACTGCGAGTACGTGTACTGCGCGTCGGGGTTCTCGATGGTGTAGATGACGTAGTCCTTCTGCATCTTGCCGTAGTAGTCCTCCGGGCCGTAGGCGCTGTAGTTGAACATGGTCTCGGGCACGAGCGTGGCGAGGAACGGCCCATCATTGGCAATCGAGTACTCCACCTTGTCGGGGCCGATGAACTGGCCGTTCTGGAGGCCGGCTATGCTGATGTAGCGCTTGACCTTGTGGTCGTCCATCTCTTCGATGACTGCGCGAGCGATGGCACCGCCCTGCGAGTGGGCGAGGAAGATGTAGCCGTTGTCGAACTCGGAGCTGTTGGCGACGATCTCACGGATCTGAGCGACAGCCTTCGGGACCTGCAGGACGATCGCCTCTAGCGAGCAGGGCATCTCGCAGGTGAGAGGTACAACGGTACGCCCCTCGGCCGTGAGGTTGGCCACGAAATAGTGAAAAATAATGAAGGAAATGTGAGCTGCTGACCGCGAGCGCGGCGGCGGGCTCTTAGCATGCTTTGTCGTAAAAGTTGTCGCTTAGCACTGCACACCCGACAGCCTCTACATTCGTTCATTACTCAGAGATGATGAATGGTCACTCAGAGATGATGAATGGTCGCACGGATTCCATTGCCTTAGGCGATTTTGGTGTGGACCGCTCTGTAAAAGAAGTCTGCAGGCACACCCTGCAGAGCCTTTCTTGCAGCGATGGAAGTGTAACGGGCTACCGTTGGCGCGCTTGGGTCGTGGGTTTTCGAAATAGTTAGCTGGTAACATCGCTGAGGTGGACAGAGATGCTTAGCTTGGGCCAGCCGTAGTAACCAAGAACCTAACGAGCAAGTAAAGGAATGTTCAGTGCAGCCGACATGGGTGACGTACCTGCGCGGCACAATAGGCTACGTGAGGCAAAGGACTGCAGACAAGCGAGGCAAGCGACCATTTATTGGTTCCATGCACCAAACTTTCAGGCAAAGAGCAACCAACCCCCTTAACTATGTTGTACCCGTAAGTGTACGACAACTTTTACGACAAAGCATGCTAAGAGCCCGCCGCCGCGCTCGCGGTCAGCAGCTCACATTTCCTTCATTATTTTTCACTATTTCGTGGCCAACCTCACGGCGGAGGGGCGTACCGTTGTACCTCTCACCTGCGAGATGCCCTGCTCGCTAGAGGCGATCGTCCTGCAGGTCCCGAAGGCTGTCGCTCAGATCCGTGAGATCGTCGCCAATAGCTCCGAGTTCGACAACGGCTACATCTTCCTCGCCCACTCGCAGGGCGGTGCCATCGCTCGCGCAGTCATCGAAGAGATGGACGACCACAAGGTCAAGCGCTACATCAGCATAGCCGGCCTCCAGAACGGCCAGTTCATCGGCCCCGACAAGGTGGAGTACTCGATTGCCAATGATGGGCCGTTCCTCGCCACGCTCGTGCCCGAGACCATGTTCAACTACAGCGCCTACGGCCCGGAGGACTACTACGGCAAGATGCAGAAGGACTACGTCATCTACACCATCGAGAACCCCGACGCGCAGTACACGTACTCGCAGTTCAACGTCAACCGCTGGCCGCAGTTCGGCAGCTTCTCCACCGCCAACTTCTTCCTGCCCGTGTACAACAACGTTAACCGCTGTCTGCCGGGCGACGACCAGTGCGTTTACGACCAGCGCCGCCGCAAGGCCAACTTCCTCAAGCTGGAGGAGGCCCACTTCTTCGCCTCGCCCGCCGACGAGCGCATCATGCCGTGGCAGAGCTCCATCTTTGGCCGCTACTCGGAGGTGGACACGATCGAGGAGATCAAGACCAAGTACATGAACCTCACCATCGTCAACATGAACGACACGCTCGAGTACACGTCGGACACGTTCGGGCTCAAGACACTGGACGAGCGCGGCGGCCTCTTCATCCACGAGATCGCCAACATCACGCACAGCTGCTGGCGCGCCGTCCAAAAGGATGGCTGCAAGTGGGCCTCGCTCACCAACGACTACCTCTACCCCGCTCTACACTAACTTTTAGTACTAGTAAAAGGTAGGGCATTCTACAAAAATAAATAAAACCATAGCTTTTCAGTGCCGCGTAGTCTCGGGCTGCCACCGTCGTAAGCAAGTGTGCCCACCAGGGGCGTGAGTTTGGGCTACGACCGACTCAAGTCTCACCACCGAGCCCCGAGCGGCAAAGACCGTGTCGGTCTTGCCGGTACATGCACCGCAATTGCCGAGACGCTCGACTCGTCGGCAGGGAATCGGCAATACCCCCCGCGAAGTAACCGCGCCGGTAACGGCCGGCCCTTGTGTTGACACGGTCGTTAAATAAACGGCAAGGACACCGGTCCTGGAGCTCTGCAACGCAGCCGTGTCGGTCGGCAACGCAGCCGTGTCGGTCGACTGCCAAACTCGCTTTCCTTCAGACTAATGCAATCAGTGCCCGACTTCAACTTGGCTCGCAGTGTCTCTTGCGCGGCGACAACTCGACTGCGACTCGCGTGCAAACCCTGCCCAGTACAGTATGAGGAGGGCGCAGCGCGTGCTCACCAAGGACTGCAGGTGGTGCCTGCGGGCTGGGGTGGCGGCTTAGGTGGCAGCACCAAGCATCCGTACCAGCACCGTGTCCAGGCCAGCCGAAGGCGCTTGATGTGGCAGACATGAACTCGGGGTGATGAGCGGACTGACCTATCGCGGCGACGCAGGGTATGGAGTGTGACAGGTTGTTACTCTCGGGATTGGAATGGTGACTGAAATTGAGGTATGACCCTTCACCCCAAATATGCGATGCAACAGTGCCTTAGCGACTGAGCAATCAGCTGCTCAGAATTGCAACGATCTGCGAGGGGTATAGGTTCACAATGGGTAGCGGAGTATAGTACATCTTGCTGGGGCCGGTACAAGACCAGTTAGTGCTCCGAAAGGTTATGCACTCCGGTAGGTTGGCGACCGAGATTGACTTTCCAATTCTTTCCATATTTTCAACGCAGGAAGCGTGTCATGCGCAGTTGACCTGCTCGGACCGGGCGATCTTTGGCTCGTACTTGGCGTTTGTATTGGCCAGTGGCCCCGACGGGAGCGACCCCCCGCCCATTCTTCGTTTTCAGCGACCAGCGCGCGAGCGACGAGGAAGACAGCGACCGACAGCAGCAGCAGCGAGCACAGGACAGGGACACAACACACACGAGAACCGAGCAGAGCACAGGACACGCGCCGCAGCGAACACGCAGCAGACGGCGCGAGCGTGTCCGGGCGGGCCTCCTCTTGCGAGCGGAGAGCTCGTCTTGGGCGACAAAGAGACCGCCCGCCTTCCCCGGGAGCGCGCGAGTGAGTTGAGTGACTGTATTGCGTGTGTGTGACTGACGCGAGGTTGGCGCGACCCCTCTCTTCCGCTATCTGGCTGTAGCCGGAAGGGTCTGGGTCCGTGGACTTCATCTTCGTATTCGTCTTTTCTTTCATTTTTCTTTAAATAAAAACAAACCCCCATAAAACAGGAAGAGAAACAGTAAAAACCTATAAAAAAGTAGTGCATTTCAGTCGAGAAAGTAGTAGTAACGAGCAAGCATGTGGAGAGCAACAAGTAACAACCAAGATCAAGGAGAGAGCAGCAGCCGTGGCGGCGGCGGAGGAGCCAAGTGGAGCGGCAGCTTGCGGGCGGGCGCGGTGCTGGCGACCCTGCTGGGCGTGTGGAGTCTGCGCGCGCTGCAGGTGTCGTCGGCGCCGACGGCCAAGTCGTGGGTGCGGGAGGACGGCCACGTGTCGGTGGTCAACTGCTCGGCGCTGTCGCCGCCCCCGGACACGCAATTCTGGCAGGCCATGGACCGGTGCTACGACTGTGCCGCCGAGCCGTCGTGCGGTTTCTGCCAGTCCACACTCACGTGCGTGGCCGGCAACCTGCAGGGACCGTTCGACCGCTACCAGGTTTGGTGCAGCGACTGGATCCCGGAGGCCGAGGCTTGCCCCGTCAACCCGCAGTGCGACACCATCACCGACTGCGGCACCTGCGCCGCGTCGGACGAGTGCGTCTGGTGCGCGTCGGACGCCTCGTGCATGGCGGTGGAAGAGGGCTTCGGCTCGGGCTGCAAGGCGCTGGTCAGTGATGCGCCATGCCCGACCGTGGTCGTTCCAGGTGCGTGCAGCTGTATCTTGCGAGTAGAATTCCGTGGGGACTAAAAACTGAATCGT